AGATCATTTAATTGTGGCTACCAGAATGTCACCAGTCACCAGCAGGAGGCTGAATAAGTTTCCACTCTAGTATTTTCAATGGACACACCACGAATGGAGTAAAATGATCTTCCTTCAAAACAACATGGTGACCAACAGAAATCATACTACTTTGTTGAAAAAGCAAAGTTCCATAAAATATCTCCCTCAAATGCATTTCCTCTCAAATTTCGGGTGTGAGATAATTGTTATGTGCTCTGTCAATTGTTGGCATCAGTAAGATTCCAACTCATTGGTTAAAGGAACACGTCACCTCTTACCGCAAGTGGCCTATTGTGTTATTCTGTGGAGGAAACCATAACAATCATAACCGCTTTAACAAAGTGAGCGCTTGATGTTAACAAAGATTCCAACCTTCCTGTTTTGGATGGAAACCTCGAGTTATCGGTAAATATTTCCTGCATCCATTTTATGTTTATTGTCCTGAAATCTCCCTTTTTTAGTTGGACAGTACCGACACACACATTGCCCTTACATGACATAAACGACATTTAAATACGCAGCTCAAAATGCATTACGTCATAAGTTTCCTACCTTCTCACACACAGGCCTAAGTGCATCCTTTCCGAGCTTACAAATAAAACAACTGACAGCCTCCCTGTGAAATGATGTAAGATCTCCAGCTGGCATAAAGGTAATGCATTTTAATAGGGAGCTGGGCCAAGTAAAAGAAGGCAAGAAAGGGGGCGGCGAAAGAATGGTGATTGACGATTGGCACACAGGTCTAGCAGGGACGAACGCCTCAGAGTAAAACGTAAGCCGCCATCTTTATATCGTTGAATTCCGTGGCGTGTTTTAAGTGTTATTTCAAAGAAGATGAGGCCAGTGTAAGTTAGAAAAAACCACTGGATAACGTGTTTTGACTTGATTTATCTTGACGACTACACGGAAAAATGCGGAACACATTTTGAACATCGTACATCTACCATGGCTTGGGATAATTCGTGGCATGAAGACCCTAGGCCTACCACTATCCTGCACTATCTAGGTAACAAAAATAAAGCAATACTAATTTGTCATACTTTTTAAGGCTCAGTTTTGTTTAATTTAAGTCTTCTGTCAAATAAAATATTTTTAGCTACTTCTGTTAAAATTAATGAGTGGTCCTGACATTTTTCTTATGCGCCTGATGGTATTTTGTACAACCTTAATGTTCACCAAACACGAAATGACTGTATGTCTATTTGTGTCGTTTGGGTTAAGGTAATTTTTACCATTTGGGTATTAATTATAGAGGACCAACTGTGACATCAATCACTCGCTTTATACCAGTGGTTACCGTAGTTCAGCGGGCGAGTTTCATAAATACAATGTAAGTTCAGATGTTGCTAACCTCTGGCGTTGAAATAAATAGTATCAATGTTAACGAATTCTTCAATTAACAGCCCGAACATTTAATTGTTAATAGAATAACATGATGGTTCCAGTTTTACTGTAGTGCTTCAATTATGTTTGAAAGAAGAGTTTCTCTCACTACGTGTTACGTGGATGTTTGGCCAAGTGGGTGTTTTGATGACACGGACTGAGTTTATATTTAGCACTTGTTTGTAGTAGCCTGAAATTCATCCGATAGCTTCGAGTCGTTTTCTCCTCGCAACAACATGTTACTGAGGGAGTAATAACGACTCGAAGTAATGTTTGTAGGGGACTTGCATTTTTCAAGCAAAACAGACGACAGAAAAAAAGGTGACACAATTATCATTGTCTGCCAACATGTATTCCTCATCATTAAGAAAGGAAATTTATAGTATTCAACACTTAAGTTATGTTAGTGAATGCAAAACAATAAAGAAGCATTTGTAATTCTATTTCAAATTCCTATTTCATGTAGATTTGAACGTGACTGAGGCAAGTGTGAGGGTTCCCGGTCCCCTGTAGCATTTATAAAGATCATATGGTAGACCTCGCCGTGTATTAGCCGCTCAGGAAGGCAGGGGTGTCATGAAGGGACCCACCTTCACTCATGTTGCCGGGCTTAAAACAAAAAGGCTACCTTTTGTGACTCTTGTTATAAACAGTTATAATGAAATCAGAAAATACACATGCAAAGTACAAAACTAACTATAAATGACTATATATATTAAAAATAGTAATAATATCAATAAAAGCTTTATTTAATCTGCATGATGAATCAGCCTACAGCTGCAGCTACAACTCATTTGCAGCATAAATAGCCTAAAAAAGAAAATCTACATGTAACTTTTTACACTACAAGCAAAAAACAAGAGTCATAAAACTCAGAGCATTGGTCACTGCATTCATCTTATCACGTTAAAACTTAAAAGGAAGTAAACATCTGCTTTATCCTTATATCTACTGGCATACCATTCCGTGGTTTTAAAGTAAATAATATCGTCAGGGTATATGCTCCATGTATCTCTTGTTCGTATTTTGGACACACAAGATTATGTCCGTTCTTTGTGTATTTTGTATGCAGCTAACTCTGTTTATCTTGTGAGGATACCACCAATAAACAAGTTCTCCCCATTGACTTTCTTGTATATACCACAGCATTAAATTGCAGAAAGCTGAGTTTCACCTGTGTGATTAGTAACTGGATCAGCCTTTTCAACGTTACTCCGCTTCCATCCCTGCATCAGTTGCTAATCAGTTTATGTTTTCAAATGGTCAGCAGCCATTAACCCAGCTGCTATATATCACAGTATTGAATTGATCTAAAATGTATACAACAGCTTCCACTATTTCAGTGGGAGGTTTATTATGGTGTAAAATATTCCAATTTTGCAAGGTAAGTATTCTGTTGATTAAGTCGTCAATATGGTTTTCTGTGATGTTGTGATGTAAAGGGAACAGGACAGAGACGGTATTGGGATATTGATAAGCATTTTGCTTTTGGAGGATGATAATATTCTTGTAGGACTTGGTGATGTTTTCTCTGTAAAGTAGTCTCTAGAATAGTGGGAGAAGCCAAAGAGGATGATTCAGTGTGTCATCATCATAACTATTAACAATTGACTTATCACTTAAACACGGTGGAAAATCATTTTGTAAATCCATGAACAATAACACTGCAAGAATTGAGCCTTATGGAATGCCGTCGCTAAAGACTGGGATATTGACAATGACCATTGATACTGTTTTCCAGCAAGGGGAGATTAATTTATCCATGGTACCTAAGAATGCACACAAGAAAATAATGAATTCATGATTTTCATAGACTGGAACTGCAAAATGTAGATAATTGCAGAGAATATATCCTCAGAGTTATGATGCAACCTTTGCCATAATTTGTCAAAATAAAGCCTGTTTTAAGTAGTTAGCCATTCATGTGGTCATTTGCCAATTGCCACAGTAGGTTCTGATTTCAGTATGTATATACTTCTCAATTATGAGTTTTTGAAACTGTGGCCACGCACATAATCTATGTAATGTCTATAGTGTCCACGCTGATGAAATGAAACTGTTATCGATACAGTACATACTTGATTAATCTTGGTAATAATGATGACATACTTGGAGCACCAGCCATTAGAATTTCTGTAGTAATACCACTGGGACTGGTCACTTCGAGCAAAGGCATAGACTTCATGATTTTTCACTTGAAGCTGTTCACGTGGGGATAACCACTGTATGCTTAGTATAAATGTGATCGTTGTTTATGGAATTAGGAGTCGAGGATGATGAATGCTAAAGATTGTTTATGGAATCAGCAGTTCAGGAGAATAAATCCAGAAGATCATCTGCTTGATGAACAGGTACAATGTGCTGAAAAACTTACTGTGAAGTTGTGAGCAATTAATTTCTCTGTAGTTGTTATCATAACATTTTTTTACCTCAATAAATCGTTGGTATTCTTTACATTTACCATACCTAGTTATTGATTAGTTACAACAACGATCACATAGAATTTTTTACAACAGGGCCCAGTTGTTCGAAGGCGGATTAGTGCTTAACCCAGGGTTAAATTTAACCCTGGTTTCTTTTTCTTTGCTCAAAAGCATTTTCTCGGATAGTTTTCTCCTTTATTCTTAAGAACATTCAATCATCAACTTTTTGATAAAAAGAATTAAACTGAATTTACTTTTTAAGCTTTCACATCTGAATTCAAATTTCGCACTAACCCTAGGTTATCTTTACCCAGCTTTGAACAACCCGGCCCTGGTGTTTACAAAATTCATCTATTACTGATGACTGATACTTAACTTTACTATTTTTTGTTAATTAAATACTGACCCTGTTGTAGATGCAAGGTGTAAACTAAAAAATTGAAACCCCCTTCAGACATTTCTCTCGCACGTACATGTAATAAATGAAAATGAAATGTTTACCAGAAAAATACACCATGCAAGTAAAAGGGAAAAAATATGTAACTGTGTTTTACCGTTGTACAAAATGAAGCTTATAATTTTATTTTAATGGACCATTTTACAGTTGCAGGTTGTAGCGGCTGGGTTCCCTGTTTCGTTTTGTTTTCCCGTCTTTAGAGGTCATGTGACTTTGTTTTTAGTTGCCTTTTGATACGTTTGAGCGAGTGTTTGCAGCTTGGGCATTCACTCGAAGTAACGACCAAAATTGATCGGTTTCGACGCATTGACGACTGTATTGTTTGGAACATTGTCTTCATGTATTGTCACGATTAAAGATTGTAGCCGTCCTTGCAGTATTGGAAATAAAGGTCCGTAAACAAGAGTGAATTTCGTCGCGGCAGTTACTTCGAACGCCCAGCTGCATTCAGATGATTTCTTGGCCTACGAGCACCGTTCTCAGACTATTTGTCCTATCTTATTGTGAATATTGGTATTTTGAGTCCTGGTGATAATATTTCGCATGCAACACTGGCTGTGAGTACTTTCTATGTTTGTATACAAGGGTTTTTGATCCCTTGTTGCTTTGTGATGTCGGTTTGGGATCTTTCGAGCGATGATGGCCGAGATACGGCACTCGATCTCACAAAAACTCCGGATTTGACACTTTGTGAACCTCAAGCCTTCTCTACTGCAATGGAAAACGAAAACAAGGAGTCTGGTTATGCTACAAAGCCGAACGAAACGACAAACCCGCCACCTCTGGACGAAAACGCATGTGTTTCAGAGGAAATGTGGAATGGACAAGGGAAAGCGGAATTGGATCAGACCGTTATCGATAAGAGACCTCGGAAACTAACTCAAAAGGGCAAGGGCTATCGCCTCGCGCAAAGGAAAGGAGAAAGAAATAAACTTAAACGAAAAATACAATCTCAGATTGCTAACCTCAGCACGCTGTTGGGCCATGATAAGAACCTTGAGTTAATCAGTGATTTGTCTATTAAACTAAATGATCTGTTTGAGCAGTTTGGTGATCTGCACGAAGAAATACAAGAACTTCTTACAGAATTATGATGATTTGTACCAAGAAATTAGACTCATTCATGAAACAGTACAGAAGTGGATGATCGATACCAATCATCGGATTAGAGATGAGAAAATTGAAAGGGGTTCTACCAAGAGCATCAAATCAAAGGGCTCTAGGTCCTCGAAGTTGTCAACCACATCCTCAAGGGCGAAGGCTCTCGAAGCCAAGGCAAGGCAGGCTGAGTTAGAGGCAAGGATCGCACAACTTGATCAAGTCGAGGCTGCGAAGAAGGAAGCAGAAAGAGCAAAACTAATGGCCGAACGTGCAGCTGTGGCCGCTGTCAACAAAGTGTATGAAGACGCTATGAAGGAGGATGACGAACAATATTTGGGCTTGGATGATCCTGACATCAATGATACAGCTGCCGACGATCAGCCTAAACCAAAGAAGTCTTCGCAGACCACTGAGCCTATACAAACCATAGATGAATCCAGAAATTTGAGGAAAACTGAAGCAGAAATTAAGCATTTGAATGATCCTGCCGAGAATCAGCTGGAATCTATAAGCGCTTTAGACCCTAAGGCACCAGAATTTGCGTTGCCCTCTGTACCCTTACAATCGGAATGTGTTGTTAGCAATGGTAGTGCAGCATACTGCAACCCCATGGTAACGAATTGCAATGCCGAAGTGACCAGTCTTGTACCACCAGCGGCCTTCTGGGAAAAGATGGAATTAAGAATGACGCAACCCCCGCCTGTACCCGCTCCGTTTGATGGAGATCCATCCCGCTACCTCCGTTTCAGAGCTGACTTTAGAGATCAAGTCGAGAGCAGAGCATCGTTGACTGATAGCGAGAAAATGAATTATTTAATGACTTACACAGCTGGTAAAGCAAGGGAAGTCGTCGAAAACTATCGGGGTCTACCAAATGGTTGTCACATCGCTCTGCAAATGTTAAGGCAGAGATTTGGACAAAATGCAATGGTAGTGGAGGCCCTCAAGTCGTCAGTGGTAAATGGACCAAAGTTAAAGAATGGTGACAGTGCAGCCCTTCTAGCTCTTTCCGATAAAGTGCAAAACTGTCGCTGGGCAATGATTGAACTGCAATCAAAGGAACTTGACTGTACTACGAACTTACGGCAAATCTATGATCGTCTACCGTACCCCTTGCAGGCGAAATGGAGAAGGTCAGCAAAGCAGTACCGTGAAGAACTGGTGGTGGAGAGCCGACGCTCAAGGAACTTTCGGAGTTCATAACTGCCGAGTCGCAAACTGAGAATGACCCAGTCTATGGAAGACCTAGTACCCTTGCAATAAGGGCTAACACCGGCAGAAACTTAAAAAAACCTCTTCCCACATCAGGACAGTCTGGAGAAACACATATTCCCACCTTGTCGACAGAGATTAAAACAAAGGAGACCGATACTCCCCAAGAGGACAAGGCCCTACCTGCAAAGGCAGAACATGTTCCTCGGGTTGAAAGAGGCGAAGAGACGTGTCGGGTTTGCAAGGGAAGGCATGGTGTTTCAGAATGTTCAGCGTTCGCAAAGAAGGGTTTGAATTGGCGCCAGCGTTTTGCAAGATCAAGTGCACTATGTTACCGGTGTTTGTCCAGTTGTCATATGATAAAGACATGTCCAAAAACTAAGGGTTGTGATGTGAAGAGCTGCCCTCAGCCATCGACCCACCATTCCCTGCTACATCTACCCACAGCAACTTCTGACGCCAATAAGGGTGAGGAGAGCGTTAATCGTAGCGCTACTCCCAGTGACGACTTAACCGTAAGCGTAACTATGGAAGACTCAAAACGAAGCTTTGTGCTACTCAAGGTGGTACCGCTGTCCATCGTGGGTGAAAACGGAACTATGGTCACTTCGTACGGCCTTTTAGACTCAGCGGCTGTCAGTTCCTTGATTACATTGGACCTAGCTGAACGATTGCAACTTCATGGAACTCCCGAGAAAGTGAGCATTAACACTGTAACACAAGAATCATGACTGTGAACTCATCAGAGTTAAATTTCTGATACGCCCATTGAGACGAGATGGGCCCTTGTACTCAATACCTCATGCCTTGGCCATACAGGACTTGAACGTTAGTGACCGGTATTGTCCGAACCAAGTAGATTTAACACAATGGCCACATCTTGCACATTTAGAACTGCCGAATATTCCTGTGGATGTTCCGAAGGTTTCAGTTCTCATTGGCCAGGATGTGCCTCAGGCGCACATAGTTCTCGATTACTGCTGGGGAGATAGCCCACAGAACCAGCCATACGCTATGAGAACTCCATTTGGATGGTGTGTAGCTGGGCCCACAAACAAGGGGGAAGATAATCGCAAGCCAGTTGCCCTTTCTGTATTCGAGTTTGACGTTACCAAGGAAGGGTCGGTCATGGGACTTCACCAGCAAGTTGAGAAGTTTTGGGACTCCGAATCACACGGATTTGGAAATGTTGGTGACAGTTGCGACAGCCGTGAGGACAGAAGGCCCTTGAAATATTGAACAACACCACTAAATTAAAGAACGGGAGGTACAAGGTCAGTCTCCTTTGGCGAAATAGCGACCCTCAGCTTCCAAACAACCGGTCCTTAGCAGAAAGGAGGTTACAGCAACTGAAGAGACGGTTTGACCGAAATCCAGAATTCGCCAAGCAATACGAGGCAGTGATGAACGACTATATTGCAAATGGGTATGCTGTGAAGTTGTCCGCTGAGGAAGCCGCCCACACGAGTAAATGCACATGGTATTTACCACACCACGGTGTAATTGTCCCGAATAAAGCAAAGGTCCGAGTGGTGTACGATGCGGCTGCGGAATTTGGCGGGACATCCCTGAATAAAGAACTGCTGCAAGGACCACAGCTGAACAATTCTCTCGTTGGAGTTCTGATCCGATTCAGAAAAGAGGACGTAGCCATAGCCTCTGATATCGAGAGCATGTTTCACAGAGTAGTCTGCAAGGAGGAGGATACAGATTCCCTACGGTTCTTATGGTGGAGTGAAGGCGTCGATAAGCAACCGAGTGATCACAAAATGAATGTGCATTTGTATGGAAAGACAGACTCTCCATCGATTGCAGCCTGGGCTTTAAAACGAACAGCTGCAGACAATGAATCCGAGTTTGGCAAGGCAGTGTGCGCTATTGTCTCCAAGAATTTCTATGTAGATGATGGATTGTTTTCTGTGCCTACCACTGAACGGGCAATTGATGCTTCACTGCAGTTGATGGAGTTGTTGCAAAGAGGGAACTTTCAGTTGACAAAGTTCGTGTCCAACGTCAAGCAAGTATTAGCTGCTATCCCAGCTGGGGAAAGAACGGTTAAAAAACCTGGATTTGGACAAGCTTCCTATCGAAAGAGCGCTGGGTCAGCAGTGGGATACCGAGACCGACGTGTTGGGAGTGAAGGTGTCACCTTTACCGAAGAAGTTAAATGACAACACGAGGCGAGGGTGTTTGTCAACCATGAGCTCCACGTTCGATCCGCTGGGCATGATTGGACCGGTTTTGCTCCCGGCTAAGAGAGTCCTCCAAAGGACCTGGCAGCTTAAACTTCAATGGGACGAGAAATTGTCAGACGACTTGCTGAGAAGCTGGACAAGGTGGAGAGAGCAGTTGGAGCTCCTCAATCAAGTCAATATTCCTCGTTGTTACTTCCCTGGAGGCTGCCATGCTGGTAAATCATTCCAGTTACATCACTTCAGTGATGCCTCTGAATTTGGTTACGGGACAGTGTCCTATTTGAGAAGAGAAACATGGGATGGAATGGTGAATTGTTCATTTATCATGGCCAAAAGCCGGACGGCTCCTCTTCAGTACGTTTCTGTCCCGAGGCTCGAGTTACAGGCTGCTACGATAGCAGCAAGAGTTCACAGTATGATCATAAGTGAAATAGACTTGAATATTTCTTCTACCTTCTTCTGGACAGATTCCCAAATCACGTTGCAGTACATCAGAAACGAGTCCCGTAGGTTCAAGACCTATGTAACAAACCGTGTATGCGAAATAAGGCAAGTTTCCGAGCCGACCCAGTGGAGACATTGTCCAGGAAACCTAAACCCGGCAGATGATGCATCTTGTGGGCTTTCAGCTCAACAGCTTTTGAGCAGCGATAGGTGGTTCGCTGGCCCAGCCTTTTTATCCCAACCAAAGGCAGAGTGGCCGACCACTGAAATTGGCGATCTACCAGAGAACAACTTAGAAGTCAAGGTGGAAAAGGCTATATTCACTTTGCAGTCACCCAATAGCATGCACGAATTTCTTGTAAGGTATTCTTCCTGGTCAGTGCTGTTGCGAAAGGTAGCCTGGCTATTAAAATTCAAGTCATATCTAAAGAAAGATAGAGACAGCAGCAGTTCAAAGTACTTAACGACAGATGACCTACAGAAGGCTACAACTGCTGTAGTAAGGCTGGTGCAGAATGAGGCGTATGCCGATGAGATGAGCGACTTGGAAAAGGGAAAGAACATCAAACATTCAAGCAGAATTGTCAAGCTTCGGCCATTGTTGGATAATGGAGTAATGCGAGTTGGAGGATGCATTTCTGAAGCTGCCATTGCCTTTGGAGCCAAGTTCCCAATGATCATGCCGCCAGGGCATCATGTCACCCAGTTGCTTATTGCAGCCTTCCACCAACGGCTAGCGCACGCTGGTCAGAACCACATACTGGCAAGTTTAAGGGAGCAGTTTTGGATACCTCGAGGGAGGTCTGCTGTGAGTAAAGTAGTACGATCCTGTTTAAAGTGCAAGAAGCAAAGGGCAGCCACTATGGAGCAGATGATGGCCACTCTACCAGCGTTTCGTACTACGGCTTATCAACCATGCTTTACTCACACTGGCGTCAACTACTTTGGACCGTTAAACGTGAAAAGAGGGAGAGCCGTGGTCAAGAGATGGGGTGTCATATTCACCTGTTTGAATTCTAGGGCCGTGCATCTGGAACTGGCTACTTCTCTAGAGTCAGACTGCTTCATCAATGTTCTAAGAAGATTCATGAATCGAAGAGGCCCACCCAAGTGTATTTACTCGGACAATGGGACAAACTTTGTCGATGCAGAAAGGGAAATTAGAGAAGCGATAGAAGACTGGAACCAGAAACAGATCTTGGATGAACTACTTCAGAAGGGATGTCAGTGGGCGTTCCAACCGCCAAAGGCTTCACACGCTAGCGGAGTCTGGGAGAGACTAATACGTAGTACCCGCACAGCCATCAAGGCCATACTCGGTGAGAGCCTAGTGAATGAAGAAGTATTAACAACTGTCTTAACAGAAGTTGAGGCTATTCTGAATTCTAGACCACTTTACGCTGCGTCCGATGACCAAATGATTGTGAACCCTTCACTCCTAACCACCTGCTGCTGCAGAGGGCCGTTCATGTTTTACCTCCTGGAGTCTTCGTAAGAGAGGACATATTTGCTAGGAGGATGTGGAGACAGGCACAAGTTCTAGCTGATCATTTCTGGAAGCGATGGCTAAGGGAGTACATCTCAGGTTTACAGGAGAGACAGAAGTGGCAGCGACCCCGCTGGAATGCTGAGATTGGAGACCTTGTGCTACTAGTGGACGACTGCTTGCCTAGAGGACAGTGGCGTATGGGTCGAGTCATTAAAGCAGTTCCCGGAAGAGATGGACTTGTCCGGACAGTAGTAGTGAAAACGGGTGCGTCAACCACATTAGTACGTCCTATACAGAAACTTTGTTTGCTGGAAGAATCAGGAAATCTCCAACGAGATTAGAGACAGACAAGTATAGGAACAGTGACACTATATTGATTGACATTCCATTGATTGACATTTATTACTTGAACTTAGTAGTTTGTTTGTAATGCTTCACTAAGTTCGCATGGGGTGGGGTGTAGCGGCTGGGTTCCCTGTTTCGTTTTGTTTTCCCGTCTTTAGAGGTCATGTGACTTTGTTTTTAGTTGCCTTTTGATACGTTTGAGCGAGTGTTTGCAGCTTGGGCATTCACTCGAAGTAATAACCCTTGCTGCTTATTATGTTGGTTTTCTGCAAACTAGTATTTTTAAGCATAATTTCCATAAGAAAAGGAAGCAGGTTTGTATCCAAACACGGTCAAACTCACCTTAATTCTCATTCACTGGAAGACTACTGGTTATTAAGCCCACAACTGTAATATGGTCTATTTGGATTTTCACTACCTTTGGCAGTGAACGTATAAACAAAACGCCATAGCACTATTTTAATTATGGAGAATGAAGCACTCATTCTTGATAAAGCCACAGTTTATACCATGTTTGGCTGTGTTAAGAAGAACATTATGCTGGTAGCAGATACATCTACCCAGGTCTCGTCTAAACACCGAGAAGAGGTTTTGACTAAACTTAATCCAGTCCTTGCATCTCCGGGGAAAGAAGACTTCCCAGACCCAGGCAGCCAGCTGTTTGGAGATGGTTTTGAATCCCGCTTAAAACTTGCCCTGAAACAGTAAATACCAGGGCCGACAACAAGAAAGCTGGTTAATCCTCCTTTTAAGTAAAAAACGAAGTTCAGCTATGGAGCTGTAGTGCAGTTGTCAGTAGCAAGGAACAAACGACGGTCATCTGCAAGGCTTAATCCTGACTGCCACTGGAGTGTAGCTTTTACCGTGGTGTTGACAAAATTCAGTTACAAGATGGCAGGGACTCCAAATTTCTGCACACAAAAAGTAAACTTTAAGTGGACACTTTTCTTGGGTGACAAGCAAAAAATAAAAGCAACAGTAGAGCTAAAATGTTTTGCTAAATTTTCGCTTAGCATTTGAAGGAAGCATCTTATTTGAAACAGGTTTTAAGTTTCATGACAATTATTCAGTGCTTTGGAAATTTATTTAGGGAAGACACCTCGCCTTGTGTTTGTTAACAGTCCAGTACCAGCTGAAAGAAGAACGTTCTAAAAGCCTTTTCAATATCACGTTTTAGTATTTACCAAATCAGTGAATAGCAATTTTTGTGCGCTTTGATTGGCTCCCGTAACTTGGAATATCCTTGGCTATTCACTGTTTTTCGACCGGAGCCAAGACAGCATCTCGTTTCAAGACATTTTTGGAAGACGAAATACCAAGGAAGCCACGAACTTTGGCTTGTCAGTGTTCACTGGTAGTAAGAAAACTATTTTCATGCTGAATTTGTGACAAAATCGTAAACTGCAGCTGTAAAGCGTAAACAAAGTTCCTACTAAATTTAGAAAGAGCCAGTTTTTTTCAGTTTTATCCAACTGATTTGGTAAGTACTAAAACAACTATCCCCCGACAAATACCATATTTTAACTATGCTCGCAAACTCAGGAAGCCCATGCACAGTATATTCAACAGGTAGTTTCGAAAACGAAGCACTCGAAAACGAAGCACCCAAATCTCAAAAACGAAGCACCCAAAACTCGAAAGCGAAGCACCCAAATCTCGAAACCACTGTACGTTGAAGAACAACAACTTTAAGTCTTGCATGACGTAAGCAAAACCAGGTGGAGGCAATGGATGTGTCCGCACCTACAAAGGTGCACCAATCTATCCCACGGAGCATTTGATTTCTCGCCTGCAGAGGTAGGGCCGTATTGATATTTATTGGTTGAGTCCATCTTTCCTGCCACCCTTTTGTCTACGTAAGCCTCTATTAGAGCACTTCGCGAGCACTTACGTCGATCACTGGTCTTACCAGTAAACTTCAAGTGTTCGTCAAGCCAGCATTCCAACTTTCTCTGCCCCTACAATTGAATGTTTGTTTGTTTGAATGTTTGCGTAAAAGGCTTAAAATGGCCAAGGAAAGTAGTTCTCTCGTCCGTCCACGAAAGCGTGAAGGGCTTAACCTTCTCGCGCCGGTTTTTTTTTTTTCCACCAATATGCCGCGGGCCTCTATGACAAAAACAGTTACTTTGTTGGTTAAGGAGATCCCTCAGGATCTGTCCAGGGTGGCTTTAGTGGGCCTTCTATGTGAGCGCTTTAAAACCTGGGTTTTGAAAGCTGTTCAGTTTTTGCCGGCCATGCGTGCTCAGTTGATGTGCGATTCTGTTGAAGCCAAATTGGCCATTGAGAAGAACGAATCTATTTTTATCGGTGGTCATAAATGCCCTGTTTTGGTGGGTGGCCCTATAGGGGAAAATGTGCTTGTGTTTTACTTTCCTTATGAGGAGGATGTTGAAATCTATGAAAAGTTTTGGTATGGTTGTTGGGGTACGGTATCAGTCCTATCCTAGTGTTGATATCCACACCTGTACTAGGCTAGTGCGCATGATTAGGAATGGGCCCATCCCCCGTTTTCTTGATGTTGGGGGTTACTTGTGTAAAGTTTGGTATTGTGGGCAGCCATCCTGTGCGATATTTGTGGTGGGGGTCATGTTTGGCGCAACTGTCCCGTTAAGGGAAAGTGCCGCGTTTGCAACCAAGAAGGTCACTATGCTAGGAATTGTCCCAATGCTAGGGGTGACGATTGGGGGGATGTGGATGCTCCTGCTGATCTGTCCAGTGCTGCTGGTGGGGACGGTATGGATTTTGAATTAGGTTCTGGCAGTCCCCCTTTTGATGACCAAAGGGACAATTAGCTCGATGAGCTGCAGTCGGGCCCGAGTCAAAGTATCTTGGCTAATGTTGTTGCTGTTGAGCCTTCTGTCAAAGGCAGTGATTTGAATAGTGTCTCTGGTAGTGAGAGTAATTTAAGTATTGATAGTAATAATGTTAGTCCTGCCAATGAAGGCAACTTAGTTAATGAACAATTACCTAGTGCAAATAAAGAAAGTGATTTACATAATGGAAGTAATGATGGTGAATTAAATAATGGCAACAAAGAAAGTGAATTACATAGTGGAAATAAAGAAAGTGTAGTACATAATGAAAATAGAGAAAGTGAATTAATTAGTGAAATTAATGAGAGTGAATTACATAGTGAAAGTAATGTACCTTCTAAAACACCTGTACTGCAAAGTGGAAATGTGGCTGTGGCTGAGCCAGTGGCAGAGCTGTGTATGGCTAGCTCTGAGGATGATAGTGTCGACACTCTGCCAGAGTTGTCGTGCTGGACCAAGGTTATTTCTAGGAAATTGAAGCTCCATAAGGAGCCGGCCAAAAAAGCTGTCATCCCGATTGTGGGTGGTGGGGTGCGGAAAAAAACCGCCCCTGTGCCTGTTGTGGGTACTCAGCGCAAAAATGCGCCGAATATTGAGTCCAGAAGATCCAGGTCTTCTTCTTAGCTCGTCTGTTCTTCTTTGCCTTCATGGAGTTAACATTAATTACAGTTGACGCCAACGGGCTTTGCAGTGTTGATAAACGTTCTGTTTTGGTTCAGTGGCTGCATTCTCTTCCCACTGTTCCGGATGTTGTTTGTATGCAGGAGTATCATTGTGTTTCGTTGAAAGAGTGCCAGTCTTGGTTTCGGTCCTCGGGTTTTTCTTCAGTGGTTTCTCCGGGCTCTGGTTGGTCCTGTGGTTGTATTGTTTTGTTTCATAATCCCCTTCTTTTGGTTAATTCGTGGACTGTTACTGATGGTCGTTTTCTTCAATGTGAGTTCTTTTGTCATAATAGTATTATTCGTGTCGCTTGTGTTTATGCCCCTAATCGTAATCCTGAACGGGATGGTTTCTTTGCTGATGTTTCGTCCCGTATTGACCCGGCCATCCCTACCTTTTTGTGCGGTGATTTTAATGCTGTTTTTGATCGTCGCGTTGATCGTTTTGGCTCTGCTCCTGATGACACCTCGAGGGAGAGTTCCTCCACCCTTGCTCATCTTTTTTCCTCTTGTTGTGTTGTGGACATCTGGCGTCAGTTACAGCCCTCTGTTCCTGGCTTCACTTGGTCCAGGTGCGATGGTCTTCGTTCCAGTCGAATCGATCTTATTGGTTGCCCTTTTTCTTGGTTGTCGGTGGTTTCCTCTTGGACATCGTTCCTTGTCCCTTCTCCGATCGTTCTGCCGTTTTGCTTTCGTCCTCGGTTCCTCAGGCTGCCCCGTTGGGTTCTGGCCTTTGGAAGCTAAATGTTTCTGTGCTGGAGGAGCCTGATTATTTTAGGCTCATTTCTGATTTTTGGTCTGGTTGGCGGCATCGAATGCCTGCTTTTGCTTCTCTCTCTGATTGGTGGGAGATGGGTAAATCGTGCATTAAAGGGCTGACCATTGACTATTGTTGCCGTCGTAGCCAGTCGAAGTCCCAGGAGCGTGATCTTCTGGCCTGACTTGCCTCCCACCTTAAGTCTCGTCTTGATCTTGGCGTACTGTCTTGTCTTGAGGCTTACAAGTCTGTTCTTGAGCGTTTAGCTGCTCTTGACCTAGAGGCTGCTAAGGGCGCTCAGGTTCGTAGTTGCATTCATTGGATTGAGGAGGGGGAGTCGTCGTCTGCATTTTTCTTTCGTTTAGAGAAAAAGCGTGCTGCTGATAGGTTGATTTCTGGTCTTCGGTTGGATGATGGTTCTGTTGTTAATTCCACCTCTGGATTGTTGGAGGCTTTTTCCTTGTTCTATTCTAAGCTTTTCTCTGCCCAGCCTTGCCATCCTCATGCCCAATCGGAGCTTCTCTGTCATGTTTTGTCTTCTCTCACCGTGGTCGAATCTAGTTCTTGTGAGGGTGACCTGTCTCTGGAGGAATGTTTTGCTGCTCTCTCTGGCATGGCCAGGCGTAAGGCTCTGATGGTCTGCCGATGAAATTCTATTTAAAATTTTGGCCTGTTTTGGGCCAGGACCTTGTCCTGGTGCTCAACTCTTGTTTTAGTGAAGGCCGTCTTTCACTGTCCCAGCTTCGTGGTGTGATCTCTCTCTCTTTCAAGAAAGGTGACCTCTTGGACCCTAAAAATTGGCGTCCCATTTCGTTGTTAAACTGTGATTATAGGATCGCTTCTAGGGTCATTGCTGGGAGATTGAGTAATTCATCTTGTTGTTGAGAAGGACCAGACTTGTGGCGTTCCTGGGCGGTTTATTGGTGAGAATGTTGCTTTCCTTAGGAATGTTGTTGATTACGCCACCTTGTCCAATGTTCCTGTTGCTCTTCTATCTCTCGACCAAGAAAAGGCGTTTGACAGAGTGGACTGGGATTTCATGCGTGCCACTCTCCGTCATATGGGCTTCAGTCCCTCATTCATTGGTTGGGTGAATCTCTTCTATTCTGGGGTGCAGAGTGCTGTTAACGTGAATGGTCATATTTCTGACTTCTTTGCTTTATCAAGTGGTGTGAGGCAGGGTTGTCCCCTGTCTCCTCTTCTTTATGTTCTGGTTGCTGAAGTTTTAGCTTGTAACATTCGGGGAATGTTCCTGGTTTGTCTCTTCCTGGCCTTCTGTCGCCCCTGCCTTGTCTTTCTCAGTACGCTGATGATACTTCAGTTATTGCTTGCTCAGACCAAGCTATTGTTTCGGTGTTTGATACCTATGATCTTTATGAGAGAGGCTCAGGCTCTAAACTCAACCTAAGCAAGTCTACGGGCCTTTGGCTGGGTCCATGGAACGGTCGTTCGGATTCTCCTGTGGCCATTGACTGGTCTTCTGTGAAGATTAAGGTCCTAGGGGTTTTCTTGGGTCCTCTCGATCTTGAGGAGGACAACTGGAGGCCCCGTCTGTCTGCCGTTGAGAATGTCCTCCTGTCCTGGCGTCAACGTGCTCTTTCCTTCAGGGGTAAGGCGCTTGTTATTAATGCCCTGGCTTTATCTCATATTTGGTATGTTGCTTCCCTGATTCATATGCCGTCTTGGGTTCTCCGCGAGCTCAATTCTCTGGTCTGTAAATTTTTCTGGAAGGGTAAGCCTGACCTTGTCTCTCGTGCTGTGGTCATTCATCCAAATTGCTGTGGTGGTTTTTCTGTTGTTGATGTCAATTTGAAAGTGTCTGCCCTCCTTGTTCAGTGGATCAGGAGGTTTGCTAGTTCTCCAAATTCATGGGTCTCTTTTTTGGTTTATTGGTTTAACCTCCGCTTGGGGCTCTCTCCTGTCCAAGTGTTTGCTAATCATCCTGTTTTTGATGTCAATTTGCCACCCTTTTATGTTTCTCTGCTCCGTGCTTGGCGTTTGGCGGCTGGTTCTGCATCTCCTGCGAGTGTTCTGTATGTTGGCAGAGGAGTTGTATGTGCTCAGGTCTCTGCAATTACCACCAAGTCTATGTACCTTATGCTTCTGGCTGACCACGCTGTTTCTCCGCACTGTGAAGAGAAGTTCTTTCCTGTCTTTGGTGCACTTTATTGGCCTTCTACTTGGCGTCAGTTGTTCCTCTTTGATATCGATCACACTGTCATTGACTTGTCTTGGAAGATTGCCCATGGGGTCCTCTACACTGCCCAGCGGTTGTCCTCTTTTGGTTATGATTTGTCGACTGCCTGTTTCTGCGGCCACAATATGGAGTCTCTGGACATCTTTTCTTTTATTGTCCGTTAGCTTCTAGTGTTTTCTCATGGCTTCAATCGTTACTCTTTCGCGCCGCTCCTTTGGCCCCTCCTTTCGTGTGTCGCCATGCGCTATTTGGTTTTTCGGAGGATGAGCTCTGTGTTGTTCCTCTTTTCTTTGTCTACGCTATCAATGTTGGTAAATTCTACATTTGGATGGCTCGTAATGATGTCCGGTTTCGGGATGCCCCTCCTAGTGCGATCAATGTCATTGAGAGTATCAAATGTTGTATCACTTTTCACTTGCCTCTGTTCTTTCGCCGTTTCCGCTCCCCTCGGCAACGTTGTTACTTTGTACGACAGTGGGGTGCTCGTGGCACTATTGCTTCCGTCTTGGATGGGAATCTTTCTGTTCACTTCTAGTGTCTTTCTCTTGCTCTGATCGCCTTTGTTGGTTGCACTGGTTGCTTCTTTATTTGAGTGAGTGTCTCTCTCTCCTTTCTGGTCACCTTTGTTGGTTGCACTGGTTGTGGATCTTGTTTGAGTGAGTGTGTTTAGTGTGTCGGTTTCGTATGGTGTGTTTTTAGGCCTGCTTTAGCGTGAGTGTTGTTTAACTTTTATTTTTCCTTTGTGGATTTTTGAGTGTGTATGTTTTTTAGCTTTTTAGATAGTCTAGTGCCCGCGTTTTTTAACTTGTTCCACTGTCCTGTATATGTCTGTGTTGTTTCTGTTTTGTCCTGTACTGTGTATGTAGGGGTGGGGGTTCGATTCCCCCAGTCAGTTTCTGTACTGGTGTACTGCCCCGTTTTTGTGTGAATGGTACTAGACTTTGTTGTCTAGCAGCATTGCACCACCCCACTGGGGGCTGGCCATTCATCTTAAACACATAAAAAAAACGCTTTCATTGTAATAGTAGCCACATAATGTATAAAGTATACAGATTATTCTAAAAGAAAAAAGCAAAATTAAGCATAAACAGGAGCCCATCACTATGGCATAAATTGCAATTGCTTCCTTCCAAGTCGTTGTGTCAAGTGTTCCGAAAAACAAACGTTATTGATTCAACACATAAAGAAACCAGGTATCAAACGGAACATTCAGGCAACAATTTCTTTTTAAAAGATCAATTCTTAAACAGTTACGCTCATACAGAAAAGATACAAGGACCATTCCGTGTGACCCACATTGCTAAAGATCGTGCGGCCTGTTGTCAGTACTTTCTGGTAAAATACTACGGATCGGAGTCATAAATCGAATGCCTGTTAAAACGTTTCATGTTCAATGGATTCTTTCCTCAAACATCACAAGACTTCCTGTACAACAAAAAAATGCTGGGTTTATTCCTTCTGATTCCAGTCACTCGAGAGAGTAAATTGTTGCAGACAATCAGAAGTCATGATGTAGATCAGCTTCACTCGCCACTGCGTCCTATAAGGCCATCCCAATAAAATGTTTCGTTTCCCATCGCCCTTCCTCTCGTGAAGGTGGGTGGGTTGGTCGGGCGAACAAAAAAAAAGGATGAACACATGAAGAGGTCTGGGTACCAGTGAAGGCCGGGCTGCTAAGTACGAAAGCTTGGTTACGTGGTCCTTTCGTTTGTAATTCCTTTAATATCTGCAACGGCAGACAGTAATTCATGTGCACTTGTGATAAGATTACGAAAAGAGAAGAGAGTTGTGGCCTTACCTAGGCTAAAGTTCGCTGACAAGAACTTGTCATTTCAAGAAGTATTTACCAATGTGTAACAGCACTATCAAATGTCTAAAAAGGTTACGAAAAAGAAGTATCGATGATAATTTAAGACAATTGATGTTAATAAGACAAGATCGTGTGCTTGTGAATTAAAGTAATTGCTTCTTTAGTAGTGATTCTGGAATTTTATTTTTTACTTTTCCAAAAAAATGGGTTAGTCGGGCGATGGGAAACGAAGCATTAAAATTTAAGGAAACCCTTTTCAACTTTCTTTACATATTTAACGTTTAAGAAGTATCCGCAAAAGGTAGATCATTGACTGGAGAACTTAATGGACAGAAGTGAAAGCCAGATGACCACATTACACGCCACACTTGATCTATTTGAGAAGTGGATAGGTTGTATTCTGATAAGTAAATTTTGTTCAAACTAATACTTTGGAAAACAAAAATGTGAAAGAAACCCAGTGGAATAATAATAATAATAATAATATGTTTACAGTAATAACATTACATAGGTAAATCCCTCCCAGGAGATTGCAATGCAGACTTGATTGTTCATGTGAACGGAAAGCGACATTATTCATTCTTACAAATAATTGGATACTGTTATGCTCCATTTTAAGGTAATTCTCCACATTAGACACCATAGCTTGAATATTATTGCAGTCTAAAATGCCTTCTACGGACGCATCATCAAAACCAGCAACGTCACTACTGTCAATCCCAGCATTCAACAAGCTCGTCTCTACCTTCCTCTTAATAGAGGATGTTAGCATCGACAATGAGTACGAGTTCTAGAACGAGATCAGCGATTTTGCGTACTGCGCATCTCCATGTTTTCAGGTCGTCCTGTCAAGTTGCACTACGACGAGTTCTCACCAAAAACTCGAAGTGGGTAGAATGGCTGGGAAGAGCTGGTTTTCAAAGGTAAATTCTGATCGTTTAATGCAGTTTCTTTTCGTTTCTAGCCTCTCTTTATCATCTTGAACTTTCCTAATATTATGTTTTATGTAAAATACTGCTTTTGAAGTCGAGGAAAAGCAACGAAACGTGATATTTCCTACACAGAGTAAATTTGCATCTACCCGGGAAAGTTTCATGTCTCTCCACAGGCCTCACAGCCTTACGAAATAACCCCGAAAATTGCCATTATTTGGTCAAATATATCCCAACAGTCAAAGATATCAATAAAGAATACTTACTTCTTTATCGAGTGTAGTTGTTGTGTTGAATTTGATGGGTTTTAGCGTGTTTTAAGACCACGACTAGCCATCCTTCGAGTTACCTCCAAATATCGATTTTCCTTTGGAAACTGGAGGATGGACTGTCGGGCTCTCAAAACACGCTAATACTCATCAAATTCAATACAAGAACCACACTGGATAAGGAGCTAAGTATTCTTCATTCATATCTTCTTCTGTTGGGATATTTTTCGCCACATAATGACAATACAAAAGTCGGACCGGATCAACTTGGACCGCCAGTCCGGGTCGGATCGACTCGGACCAACTCGGATCGAATAAAAAAATTAAATTAAATCAGCAAAACTGAAATTTAACCCATTTGGAGGGTGAAAAGGCCAGATCATCCTTTTTTTTTCTGTGGCATTCAGGCGCCATTTTGTTTTACCAGTGCCAGTTCCTCTCGGATCATGTTATAAAATCGTGGTTGTGGTTGCGTTACACAACGCCCTCTGCCTCACAGATATGGTTGACCTCAAGGAAGGTAAAATCTCGACCATCTTTCTCAATTATTTGCTTCATTCCAAGAAAATGATAGTTTCAATCGCCTAGAATATACATGTGCTAATTTTTTTATTTTATTGCAGCTTTTTGCCACAAAGCAAAGAAGTTGAGGTGAGCGTGACATAAGTTATGCGCATAATTTTTGATTAATAAGTGTACTGAATTATTTATGAGAAAAGCATCAAAAGCCTGGTCAGTTAATCGCAGTTAGATAGTTATCGAAGAGTGTTCTCATTCCTGTTTTTGGTTTTTTTCTGCAGGACTTCTGAAACATAATTTTAATGATACACTAGTGAGCAGCACACATACATTTCCAGTAAACATTTTCAACTTGGAAGGAGGAGAAACAATGCTCGCCCTGGACCAAGGAAATTTCCATGCCCCGGGCAAGAATCGAACTCGCGACCCTCCGGTTCAGTGGTTGGAACGTCCGATAAACATGTAGTATTCGGAGGGTTGTGAGTTCAATTCTCGCCTGGGGTACGAAAGTTTTTGTTGTCCCGGGCGAGCCTGATTTCTCCTCCTTCCAAGTTGAAAATGTTCACTGGAAGTGTATATGTGCTGCTCAGTAGTGTATCATTAAAATTAATAAAAATAAAAATAAAATTAACTTACGCAACCACAAGTTTGTGTGAAAAAAACAAAATGGCGGGTGAAAGTCAAGTGATACCAACTGATTTTATTTTTCTTTTTATAATCCGAGTTGTTTTTTTTATGATCCGAGTCCAATTTTATTTTATTTTTGTTTTTTTATTTGATTTGAGTTGGTCCGAGTCGATCCGAGTTGATCCGGTCTGACTTTTTTACCTGCCTATTCAATCAAGATGGCCGAAGCAGAAATGTAAGTGGACAAAAGAGTACTTGTTTTTCTTTATACGAGTATTATTCGGTCTAATTTAGGTGGTTTATAAGGTGCGTGAAGTGCATTAAAAACTCCATGATTTAAGTTTAATATGGCTTAAGTTAACCTTAAAGTTTATTTATGCTTACTCGACTGGCATCAAGTTTTCACTTTGTTGAGCTGAAATTTGTCTCCAGAATCGAATGATGCATTGAGTCAAACTCTAGAATAACTGAGTTCAGGTTTAACTGTATTTAATTCTTTCATTTTTTGCAAGAGAAGGATTGAGAAAAATAATCCACATCATTTTTGATTGAAGTATTTTCATGAAAAAATTGCACTGGCAATTCATACTCTAATAGCCCACTTTTTAGAATAAACTTTGCAAACTCTGTAGTTTATGCCCAACCTTGGGATGATGTCTACTGTTTTAGGCTTAATTTTCATCTAACATACTTCAATATCCATGAGATGTAACTATTTCATATGCAGGTTTCCTATCATGCAGCTCTCATGAAACAGAAACACTGGCATGGCTAACAACCTTGTTGTGAAAGGGAGTACATTTTTAAAAAAAAACTTGAAAAGGAAGCTCATTCAATATAAGTTGGTTTTGGTAGCTGGGGTTTGGAACAGAAACCATTTATGATCACGCATTGAACTTAACTACAAAGCTCAGTTTCCATGATCCTAAAGGCCCCAAAATTCCTGAAGTAGGTGTTGTTTGGTGGTAGTAGTGCATGGTTTTCTCACTTTTAAAGTAAGTTTCTTGCAAATTTTTCCCAGCAAATGGGATTAACATTGGCATGGTACCTGAAATCTTTTTAAATTGTACTGTTTTCATTTTCATTTTTCATTTTTTTAGGGCTGTTTATCTGGAAAAAGCAACATGAATTGTGCCTGCTCAAGGAGGTTACATGTGTAGAACCATATGCCAAAAAGCAAAGTGACAGAGTTGCAGCATGGAGAACTATTGCCAGCAATCCCAATGGCAACAAGCAAGGGGGATTCAAGGTTACAGAAAGATCCTGTAGAGATCGGTTCAAAAGAATCATGGAAGAATTTGAAAATAAGGAGCAAGTAGAAAAAAAGGCCTCTGGCATAGATGCTGAGTATGACGAGCTGGACCAGTTGTGCCAAGAAATAAAGGAGCGAATGGAGGAAGTTAGTAGCCAGGAGGAAGCAGAAAGTGCAAAGAAAAAATCACAGTCAGAAAAAGCAGCAAGCATGAGGCAGATGGCAATGGAAACTGCTGCAGAAACCAAGAAAAGGAAGAGCACAGGGGGAGCCCAGCCTCCACGCAGACGAGGTGCAGATACAATGCAATTTTTGCAAGAAAGCCACCAGATAAGGTCACAGCAATTAAAGGCTGAGCAGGCGCTTCGTGAGAGAGAGCTTCAACTCAAGGAGGCCGAGTTAAGGCAAACACAGCAACAGCAACAGCAGCAACAACAGCTTATGTTGCAAATGTTGCAACAGCTGACTGACATTATCAAGACAGACAAAAGCTCTTTAACTCTTGTGTTTTTGTACAACAAAGCTCTTTAAAGTTTTTGTACATTAAAGTTCTTTAAAGTTTCAGGAATGTCTTTGTCACATACTTGGAAATCAATAACATATTCTTTTACAATTCTATTATTGCACACTGTACTTGAGAAGTGTTGATTATACAGAAAAGGCAAAGGGTGTTACCGTGTTGGTTGACACCCCCCACCCCACCCCATAGCTAACCCCCAGTACTCCCTTAGCATCTTTATTTTAAATGAAAGTATTCTTCCAGTTTTGGGGGTGCTAGGTCAAAGTACTGGGACACCTGGCTACCATAACAACAAACAAGAGCATTTTTTAAGGTCATTCCCCTGAATTGCATTGCGCATCTGTACTGCGCATAGGATTGCAACACTAGTCACGCAATCTTTCAAGATGGCTACCGTCGGCGTTGCGTCGGCACCAAGTCGAGAGATAAAAAAGGTTTTTTTCTAAGTTCAAAAGAAAAGGGAAGACGAGAGAAGTTTAAAAATATTTGGACAAGGAAGTGTTGTAATGTGGAAGGTGATGGAGGCGTTAGCACAAAAAAGAAATGCATCGAAGAAGGCAGCTGCAACTTTCGAGGCAGAAGAGTAATCGAGTTAGACGTGCTGGCCAGAGCCCTGGATAGTGGTTGCCGAGCGTGTGGAAAAGCACTTCAGCTATCAAACTGCCATGATGAGACTATCTCTGGGTTGGGTAGTTTTTTGTATATTATGTGCAGCGATCCGGAATATGGAGAGGTAAATGCGTGAACCACAAACATCGCATCGTGCTGCCGGTGCTGGTCGCGGCCGACCAATTTTTCATAAAAACACCAAACTTGCCACAGGTAGGTATATTTATTTGATTAGCAGCTTTTATCCGAACATTTTTCCGAGCTTCATCATAATTTAACAATCATAATGCCGTGTAATAACTAACTTTTAAATGTACATGTACTGTGTTTATGTGCAGGAATGTTACACGCCGGTATGTAAACGCACTGCTCACGTTGATAAACCTTCCAGCCATGGGACAAAACACTCTGAAGGCCAGAGAAAGAGAAGTTTGCGCAGCGATTGAGAATGTTGCAAGGAATTCATGTTTAGAAGGGTTACAGTTGGAGAAAGATTGTCGGAGGACCGTGGACACAGAGCAAGTTGTAAAAATCGGGGTATCGTACGACATGAGTACGCAGAAGAGGGGAAAGGGCCACAATAGTTTGACAGGTTAGTTCTATAATATACATAAAGCTATGAAATAATGGAGGCATTTTTGCTTTGCTTGCATGGCATCCATATCAGTAACAAATGTCTGTTTATCCATTTTAAAATACAATATTTAACAAATTCACAACGATTTTTTCTTTTGCTATAATAACAATAATAACAAGATAATGAAATAGCAGCTCTAGAAGTTAAAATCAATTATTATTTTTACCCTAGACGACAAAATTTCCATCCAACAGCAGTCAGGCAATTTAACATTTGATTTCCTTTAACAATAATATTATTAAAACCGAATAATGGAAGCAGGGTGCTTGTTCAAATCATCCTCAAAGACAGTGAATGAGCTAAATAAAATACTAGCATTACTAATCGACAACAATGAGTCATTCATTTAATTTATAGAGGTATTGACTTTTTGACTAAAGTAAATAAAACGAGACTATTTTTTTTTTTCCTAGGAGAAGGGTCTATGATTGGGCTATCTTCAGGCAAGGTGGTGGGCTAGCTACAGCGCAAGGACGAAGAGACGTGCAGTATGTGAGGCAGCTAAGAGAAATGGCAAGGAACCGAGGTCACATGACTGTCGGATGAACTGGACAGCTTCCACCAAGGTCCTCACAGAGAAATTTAACAGCAGGGCAAGAATCACAATTAACAAGAGAATTCTTGAGAGCATTTCCAGTTTCTTTACAGACAAGTAAAATGTAAATGCCTAATATGGGAATGTAAACAAGAAAACGATAAGTTATGATATTTATCTGTGCTTTTGCTGAATTAATTATACAGTGTGTGATGAGAAACTTAGCTAAACTTACCTGTATAGACATGTATATTCTTAGTTGACACAGACAAAAGGTATCCAGAAGTCACCTGAATTCGGCATGCAGTATCTCCTGGTCTCTTGTACGGGTCACCAAAATTCCGAAAATAAGCCGCCGGGCTTGTATCTTTCAAAGGCCCTTTTTGAGGGGCTTATTTTAGGAGGGGCCTATATTCGGAGGGGCTTATGTACGTAGGGAAATTTGCATTTCAAAATCGATTGGGCTAGCTTGTGGTGGGACGGAAATTTACCATTTTTGCTTTGTTTTGCTTTGTATTCGAGGGCAAATTCCAAGTACAAGCCCCCCGGGGGGCTTATATTCAGAGGGGCGATTTAACAGAGGGTTTTTGCATTACGATTTTGGGGGACTTATATTTGGAGGGGCTTATACATGGAGGGGCTTATTTTCGAAATTTTACGGTATTTCGTTAAGAAAGCCATGCAAGTATTATGTAACAGGCAAAATTTCTCGGAAATTATAATTAAAGTGTCATATTAAAGTGTCAGATTCAGTATTGCTTGATCTTTTTATTGTACCAAAGTAACTTTAATTTGGTTGCCATGGCAACCATTTTTCATCATTTTGTCCTCAATCGGGAGCCCAGATAAAGCACCCCTTTAACCTGTCACTTACCAACCAAAAATTAGATCTATACGAATAAGTACAGTTAAATTTACGATGTTTTTTTCGTGGAAAGAGAAATGGGCCTGCCCACCTGGGAACAGAAAATGATGGCATAGCTTCCAAGCGAATACCGGCACCCCCCTCTTTTTTTCGCTTGTTTGACTTTACAACCAATAGGCTGCCTACACAAAAAGAATGGACAATTTTCTATGTTCAGGAAAAAAGATAGAAAGGAAAGTATAAAGCCAAAACCCATTTTTTCATTTAAATTATGGTAACCATGGTAACAAACTTAAGGGAAGTGCTTCCTCGATGTATGTGTTTTCGTACCAAAAGCCTTTTGAAAGTGTTACTCTTGTCCAACTCTAAATGTGTATAACCTTATTTCGCACAATCAATAGTATTCTGAGTGTTGTCAGGCCTAATTATTGATATAGTCCATGGTGCAAGGCAGCAAACCGGAAGTTTCGAAAATTGCCTCAAAGGGGGTATGTTTGAGCCCTCGCAGCTCGTAAACGAATAGCGGCACCCCCCTTTTTTATTTTGATTTTGAAGTCCCAGTATGATGAATAGTTAATAGACAAAATTTGAGAAAAAATCTATGTTAAGTTCTATTTCAGGGGAATGACCTTAATAGAGTAGCAACTAAATATTGCCCTCTGACTGTACTCATGCCAATTTTGAGATTCTTCTTGAAATCTGTGAATGCCCAGTATGTGGTTATTTCTCCAAAAGACCACTCTACAGTTGCCCGCACATCTGACGTGGATTGATTGAACCTCTGTTGAGCAGGAGTGAGTCATGCACCCTTGAACCCTATTTGCAAGTGTACTCTGTGGGGGTATGCTGGGTCCCCATAAACACATAGGGGTGTGCCATATGGTGCCCACGAGTGCCTCTCCAGGTCTTGGTACAAGCTTAACATCCTTAGCATGCCTGAATCATGCTTTCTTTCTTCTGTAAATGGAAAGAAAGTAAATGAACATCTTTTTAGTCTTAGGGGATAGTCTGATGGGAGGGGGCGGGGGGTATAAGTCCATCCCAACCTGTGGAAATTGTGGAGTCAACCAAAACTATTAACACGTGATAGTTTTGTTTGGAAACAAATGAAGTCATTTAGTTTAACCTACCAATAGGACCAAACATTCGCACTATTATGCCATTTGCAGCTAAGACTTGCTCAAATTTGAGGCTATGTACTCTCTTGTGTCCATTGTAGAATATGTGTTGACCCTGAGAAGGTCTGCAGATAGGCCTGACCCGTAGCAAACAAAAAACCACAAAACAAAATAATCCTTTTATGTTTTCATCGGTAAATTTTAGCTTTTAAAAAGCTCTAATAACCCCTGGGGGCTTCTTTAATTCTGTGCCTCGTACAAGAGGGGGGGAATTAGGGGCTCATTTAGAACTCCAGAGTCAAAATAACATGTTGCTGAAATCTTGCCAGTTTTGATAAATTTTGTATACGGTATACATAGCGTTAGATTTACGCTAGAGAAATCCTATAAAGTAAAAACTTGAGAAGAAGCAAAATCTGACTCACTAGATGATAGACGATCAAGTTTAATGTTGTGGCACTGTTAAAAGCTCAAGAGTAAAATCAGTTCTTTAAAAAATATTTTCCCATGCCTGAATTATTACAAAAAGGGGAGTGGAGGGGAAAGGGTTTATTAGAGATTTTACGGTAAATTCAAACAAAATAATATAAAATACACACTAGACTACAATACTGTATTTTGAAAGTTTCTACATAACTTACAATGCCATCTACAAACCTCCAGCAATTTGGACGTGCAGCACCCTTCACATAAACAGCATCAGCCATTTCCCTAAGGGTCGGTCGGGTCAGCCAGGGGTGGTGAAGGGGGTCAAGGGTAGTCAACTAAATCTATTGAACTGCGCTGTAGGGCGATTCTGAACGAATATAGAGTTCAGGCCAATACATTAAAACAACAAAACAAGCCCCTTCCTTTTTACCCAAAGGAGGACTTTTACACCTCAAAGTAAATGTAAATTAATGTCCATACCCCTCCCACGAAGGGTTTTCAGATTATACCCCTCAACACCACTGGAAATTCCAATTTTTTTTATACTTTTCTTTAAAAACTTTGACTATTAATTATTTTACAACAATAAGTTTACTGAAACTAATAGCGACCCGCGTAAAACATGGCAAATCATCCACGACCTTACATCTCGTAAAGCCGCTAACTTATCGATTAGAGAAATAAATCTACATGATACTTATATATCTGAACCATCCGACTTGTCGAATGCTTTCAATGATCATTTCTCATCAATAGAACCTAAACGTGCTAATGAGGTCCATGCACGGTTCGGCCAACCCTTTTTTTAAATTTTCTGTTCCATGTTGAGCAAACAGAAAGATATGAAATTGACATCTTTTTCAATTAATTCTTTTATAATGTTACAAGTGTCGAAATTGTTTTTGCTTTAAAAACACCTTTTTATTGAAATTTTATAATATGACGGCGCCAAAGAATTTTTGCGCTTAAAAATAATGGTAAAATCTCCAAAAATTGCCAAAATTCCAGAAGTCCTTGTTTCTTTTCTTGAATCCATAAATCTTATCCTGCCAAACCAAAACTTACTCAACATCTTCTTTTTTTTGTTTTATGCTATCTTTTTCCAAAAAAAGATAAACAAAATTTGACTTTCGTTTTATCGTTTTTTGTTTCTTCGAAAAAAGAAACAGAAAAAAACGAAAAACGAAATTCGGCTTCCGTTTTATCGTTTTTCCTTTTATCTACAAACAAACACATAAAACGGAAAAACGGAAATCGACTTCCCTTTTATCGTTTCTTGGTTTTTGAAAGAACAGACACAAAAAACGGAAAACGTAAGCCGACTTCCATTTTAACTTTTTTCGTTTTATGAAAGACCAAACACCAAAAACGGTAAAATGATAATTGACTTTCGTTTTCGCTGCCACTTAGGGCAGCCGACTATGTAGCTGCGCATGCGTTACGTGAAACGAATGCTCTTACCGGCCCAGAGTCCGCGGTAGGTCTGTTCCGTAGGAGGGGCTGATCCGTCAGTGAGAAAAGGACAGGCCTCCTAGCAACCACCCGCTGACCAAAAAGCCCGAAGATTCTGCAAACGAGATTTTTGCGGTTCTGACTTATTAACAGTCTTGGCGCGTTATTCGCGGTGCAAGATCAAATTTTTTTTTTCAGCGAAGGAAAGAGCGGAATTATATAGCGAGGATTTGTGGACAGTCGAGGCGGTTCTATTATTGGTAAGTGTAATAATTCAATTCAGCCGTCAATTTACGTTTTGAAGTGTTCTTTGGTAGAAGAATTTCTGACTTAATATTTTCAGATTTGCTACGTGGTGAACTTTTTCGTTGTTTGATCTTTTTCTTTCAGTCAGTCATGGACGACAGAACTTTTGTCCTTTGGCGGGGACAACAAAGAATTAATTTTAATGAAGACGACTTAACAGCAGAGCGTATTTCAGCAGTGTTTAGAGTGAGTATAGCATCTCTCTTCAACTAAGTTTACCTTTAACATTTCTTCATGGAAAAGTATCGAGTTTATTCCCACAGCCGCAAAAATGTGGTCGAGGTGGGTGTGGGGGTGGAGAGAGACTGGCAACAGGGTTTAATGATTTCTTTTCTTTTTTTGCCTTAAAAAAAAAAAATTAAAACTATTTACACGATTTACGTTGATCTTATTTCTCAAAGCCTAGAAAATTTGGCTAAGACTTTTGCACTTTTTTTGGTTGAATTCTCCTCCTCTTTTCTTAGAGATGCCGAAAGTTCAATCATGCGTGAAATGGCCACTCAGAATTTTGATTGAACCAGCGTGTGAACAGACCACGGGAAAATTTCCTATACCTGTCGGCGAACCCAAACACAAAAAATAATAGTCATAATAAAAATGTATCATCTTAAAAGCGATAGTTTCCTGCTTCTTTGCATTATATATGAAAGTGGAAGCAGTCTCTGTCAGTTAAAATCTTTACGTGAAAATGATTCTCCCCATGTCACATGTCACAGATTTGATATCCAGACCTTGCGATTTCATTTGATTATCTT